GCAAAAAGGGAGTCTACAATAAACTAATTGTGCCTAATCGATGTTTTCAGTTCTAATGGTATATTATGATTTGCATTTATTAGTTAAATTCGTGAACCGTCTAAAATTGTAAATCTGAGGTTTCCGTTATCAATTACAAGTTATTGAAATAGTTCTTTCCCACTTTTATTGAACACTGATTTTTTTAAAAAGTTCATCGCGATATTATTTTGTTCATAATTTCCGTTACCAACACAGTCTGATTGTAAGAGTATTCCGACTATAGGTATTGTTTGTTGTCACAACCACTGTGTATCACTTTAGCTTTTCGTTGGTTACGAGTCAGACCTACTTGGAATTCGACAGGTATCATAAAGTGATTTCCTCTTGTTGTTAGGTCTTAATTCGGCCGAAGTTTTGGATATATGGTCTGGGAGTTGGCGGTCTATTCCCTCTATGGCATGTCAGAGATCTTCTGTAGGCGTAGGTGCTTTAGATGGGAAACTGTATGCTGTTGGCGGATATGATGGGACAGTACGTCGTTGTCTTTCAACTGTGGAATGTTACGACCCAGTTGATAATTCTTGGCGCATGGTGTCGGAAATGACTTGCAGGTAATTTATATTGGATGTTTCTTTATTATAAATCCAAATTACCTTTATCGGTTCTTATCTGCTGTAATGTTTGTTCTAATGAAATACACCTCAGCCCAGTGTATATTTATTTACTAGGCTGTTAACCCCTATTTGTTGTGTGAGGGTTTACCAGGCTTGAATAAGGTGTAGCGGGGATCAAAGCCTGGACCCATTGCATGGAAATCGAGCTTCAAAGCTAAAGCAACCCATTGCTTGTTGGATACTAGACAAATACTGGAGACTTTTACTATATGCGTTGCTTTTTTTTCTTATTTTACACACTAGACGAAGTGGACCGGCAGTTTGTGAATTAAACAACCGCCTTTATGCTGTTGGCGGTCATGATGGGCCAACCGTTCAGAGTTCAGCTGAAGTTTATTCACCTGAAACAGGAACCTGGCAGCGTATAGCTGATTTGAATGGGAAACGTAGAAATGCAGGTAAATTTGGTATTGTTGTGTACTGAAAGCATTGAACCAATGTCTTGAAATGAAATGGTTAACCAGGCATTCTTGTCACTCAACAGAGCGTACAACGTCGCCATCATTGCAAAGTCTGTAATATCATCATTCTACCATTCCCTACCGCACTCTATCAACTTAAGAAATATTCCATTCTGTTGAATTCTTCTGCGTTCGCATGCAACTGTTAACCTGTTATCTCTAGAAAATATAAAACCAGAATATCCACTCGGACTCCCGAAAAAACAAGTGAGATAATATTGATCAGAAGAAACTAGAAACTCTGTTCAAACAGTCGCCAATAAGTTAGAATCCCACTTCATCTATTGAAGTTTTCGCAGGATTAGACTGTAATAGATGGTCAGGGGTGGTCAGATTAAGACATGTCACTGGTCCATAAAGTCTTTGTCTGTTAGGATACCTAACTGTAGTTATTGAGATGTTAGGAATCAGTGGTTGGGGTCTTTTCGATATGAAAAGACAAAAAAGACGGTTTCAGCGAAATCATTTACTCACCTGTAAATTCATGAATATGTATTACAAAAAGTAGGAGATTCTTGAACTATTTGTGTTCGGGGGTCAAAATATTTTGAGTAACAAAGGATGTTGCGTAACATACTTGAGAGTTTAGATTAGGAAAATAAACAAGGGATTAAGAATACAAATAAATATGATGATGATGGCCATGACAAACACAAAGGTTAAATGTACCTTTTCAAACTTGCAGTGTTGGTTTGAAATTCTGAACGGCTAGTGCTGCAGCTATACCCAAATGCCTTGATCTCATTCCTTTTGAGTGGCTTGATCGAACCCTGTAAAGGATTTTCATAGTTTTCAAAAGGAGTTTAGTTATCTGACTGAATTCACTAGGTGTTCTGTTATTGATCTGAAGATATATTTCCGTTTTCCCTTGTTGATATTGACTGATTGCATAAGAGTCAAATGATAACTGGTTACTTTTTGTACTTTCTTTTGGTGAAAATAGCAAATTTTTTGTTGATTTTTGCATAGGTCTGGTTGCACACGATGGATTTCTATATGTGATCGGTGGTGAAGATGGAGAGAATAATTTGACCAGTATAGAAAAGTATGATCCTGCTACAAATACATGGGCTTTACTCTCGAATCATTTAAGAATCGGTCGAAGTTATGCTGGTGTTGCAGTTATTGAACGTAGTGTTATCTAACACTGTTCATAGAAGAAATATGTTCATCTATTGAGTTGTTATACTGTTATTATTATTATTTTCAGTTATTGTTTCTACTTATTTTGGTTCTTTATTTTCTTACATATGTTCTATTTTTAACATGAATATTGTAAGAATTTTTTGTGTTTTAACTTATTTAAACTGCCTTTATTTTAATTTATTCAAGTATGGAACTCATCATGAAGTTAATTTTGCCATAGTCCTTTTTTTCCTATGTTTTGTTCTACTGCCAGCACTTTTTATTCATGATGCGTAAGAAAAGGTAGTTATAGTTCGTAATATTACTAATTGATAAATGTTTATTTCAGCAAAACATTGAATATATCACTTATTTTTTATGTGTTTGTTTGATCTCATCGGTTTACTTGTTTATGTGCATTAAAAGCAAAATAAAATATTGTTTTTCTTGTTCTGCACCTTATTCAACGTGAAGCGAAGTTGATAATGATTTGTGAAATCTCAGAAACTTGTGCATGAGGAGTGCACTTGACTGTTGATTTACTTTTCTGGCCATTCAATCCCATCACTCATATACTCTATCCTATTAAGTGACTGACTGAGAAAAGTAACGTAGAACCTCACACACAGGTGCATCGGCTCAGGTTGACACACTTGACAGGGGTATAAAAAGAAAAGATGGATAGTAAAAGAGTGATATCAGAGTAGAAAAAGTAGTATGAAAGAATAAACCATCTGAAGATAACGGTTAGTTCAAATATTCAGGCTTTCGAAGATGTCAAGGAGTGAATACCTCTGCGCCATTGTCACAGATTTTCATTCATGTCACCAAGAGTCCCGAACCATTGATTGCTTTCGTCTCAGGTACCCCAATCAGGCATTATACACCTCCCCACGCCTTAGATCAACAGTCAGAGACTTCATCGATTGATGCCTTCCTGAACCCTCTTCTAACGTAACCGAACTTCCTCCTAGCGTGGCATATCTAGGTAGGTAGTGGTTCTACATGTGCAGTACATATCCAAGCCATCTCAGTCGACGAAGATTCACAGCCGTATCAACCGACTTGTCTGTCTTCAGTAGTACCCTTTGCCTGACTTCAACATTGTTCACGTAGTGATTCCACCAGATTCGAGCAGTGCTATGAAGACACCTATGATCGAAACCCAGTAATCGCTTCATGTATGCTGCTTTTAACTGGGATGTCTCAGCCGTGCTACAGGGCAGAACAGACTGCAGCGCAGTGTACTCTTCTTTTGATAGACAGCTGAATATGTTGTACGTGGCACTGATAACGAAAGTAGCAGATGTCAAACGGGCCTTCTGTATGCAAGCTGAGGTTTCGCCAGCAATCAGTCCGTTCGTGCTTATACAACTCCCCAAATGAGTGAAACTGTCAACACATTCCACCACTTCATTCCCTATCATTAAACTGAAAGTAGTTGCAAACCATTCGTGAAGCGTCATCTTACATTTGACAGGGGCTAAACGCTTTCCAAACACTCAGATTTCAGCCCAACACGTTCAAAAGACGCTGGATTTTGTTAATGTCTTCACCCAATAGGACAATATCGTCTGTATACTCTAGATCAACCAGACGGCCTCCAGGGAGTAGGTCTTTGTGAAATCAGACGTGAGAGTGAACATCCGTGGCGAACACCAGTTGTCGTCAATTCACATAACAACTCTTCATAAGCCCTGATACGACTCGGTAATTTCGTGTAGAGGACTTTGATAACTGTTATCTACTCTCGGTACTCCCTTCACAGTTAGACACTGTCACGGTCGAATGCCACTTTCTGGTCAAGAAATATGGCAAGTTCCGTTCGCTGGTAGGTTTGACTGTATTCCAGAACCTATTTTAGGGTAGAAATATGATAGACGCACTTTCGTCCAGATCTGAAACCTTTCTGAGTTTCTCGAGTTCGCTCTTCCTGAGCTCTAGTTAGAAGGTGAATAACTATGGATTCAAGGATCTTGGACACAATATTAATCAAGCTAACTCCTATACGGTTGTGATAAGAAGATTTATCCCCCTTCCTATAAACTTGGATGGTCAGTGAAGTGCACCAGTCTGATGGGACTACCTCTTATTCCCATACACTACTCAGTACACTTGTCACTTTGATTTACAGTTTCCTACCTTCATCCTTGAAAACTTCAGGTGACAAACTGTCAGGTCCAGCTTCTTTGCGTCGTTCCAGGTCCTATGCAATTATCTCAGCTTCATGGAGGACTGACATCTACGTCTCTTTCAGGTTCACGCTGATTGGATGTTGGGCAACTGAAGCATAGGTGAGGACCGGTTGAACTGTGCTTCAAAGTAATCTGCCCAACGTTCTAGCCGCCTGTCCTGAAAGGTTATCAGCGTCCTATCCTTTTCAGTGATGGTTTCGCAAACCATCGTCTTCTTGCTGGTATCCTTAAATCTAAATGGTTGCCAAGTATTACCTTGCACTGATGCCTATTGCATCTCGTTTCCGTCAACCACCACTGCTCGTGATCGACGCGAAGACTATTGGTCAACTTAAGTTTAAGTTGCTTTCTTCATTATCAGAGCCAGCTGGAATTAGTCGCCTCTCATCAATCAGTTCGGATGGCGTCGCAGAAATTCAGTGACCTTTGCTAACCTTCAGGTGTAGGCTACCAACTATTTTTACTGCTGTTTCAACAGCGAACTCAGTTTCACGCCAGATTTCCTCAGAATGAGGATTACTTTCATGTTCAGATAAATGCTTAGCTAACTCGTCTCTAAATGCGTACTTCTACCAGCCGAGCACACATGGGTCGCTCTGTCTCTTGTTTCCTGCGACCAGTAAGGTGCAGGCATACAGAAGGCAGAACCAGCGCATGATCGTCTTCTCAAATGGCACTCCAGAATGAGCGCCAGTCCTCTAACAGCGGCTTGCAACAATGTGATGTATCTGTGTACATCGTTGGTTTGAAGTTGGCAGACTTCAAGTGAAACTCTCTTATGTCTAAAGTTACAGCTGCCCAAAAACAAGTGATTGTCGGAGCGAAACTGCTAGAGATGATCACCGTTGTCAGTTCGTTCGCATAGGATTCCGTAAACATGCCCAAGATGACTTTCCAATTGACTCACCTCAGCTTCCCTACTTGAGCACCAAAGTCACCTGCCGTTATGCCTTTATCTGAACCTTTCGCTTTCTGTGGCGAAATAGAAAGCTTTTCGTAGAATTCATTCTTTGCGTCATCCGAAGTGAATTCGGTGAGTGTGTAGGCGGAGATTACGAATAAGCATCAGTTGGTCTCATTACCATTCCTAGTCCTTCCGCATTCATTCAGTCGAACAACATCCAGTCGAGAAGTGCACTTACTACTTTTCAACTCAATGGCATGCCTACAACAAGGAGTCCAAGAGAGCTAGCTAGCCATTTGGTCTTCGGATACTCTTAAGGTGAATTTTGAAAATTCATTAATATGGCCTGGTGAGATCAATTTAATAACTGCATTCAGGTCTTGTATACATGTCTCAAAGACAGCATAAATCCATAGCTAGAGATTCCAGAGTTTTGGCGAGTGATGCTTGCTGTCTGATTTGGCATGCAGTTTGGGCGTTGAAATCTCCAACAGGAAATTCATGGTGGGTTCTTAACAGACTAGGATTGAGGTTTCAATGGCTTTGATCGTTGGCAATGTTCTCAGATTGAGAGGTTGGAGAAGATGTAAGAGGCTTAACATTGGTATCAAGAGGTGAAGGCAAATAAAGGAAACAGGTGAGGAGGATAGGTTATACTTGACTGAGTCTTGTGTATTACCAGAAACGGCTAGTTGTTGACAATTCCTAGCTGCCACACCATGAGGGGCTATTTCTTCTTAGGATATCTGGGAGAGAAAAGGATTTGTATTACCGCATGAGACATCTGATTGAGACCTGTCACACATGGCCTTCCTTAAAGTGTTGTTTTGAGACCTGGTTGTTTTAACTCTCGCCAGAGGGGACCCATAGCACCAGCAGTAAAAGACCATGGGACAGGGCGAAGTGTGTTGTGTTGGGGGCCCACCTTTTGTTACCTCGCCTCCCGATAGGAAAGGTAGCATCATCTTGACACCTCTGGTCGTCCAAGGCAAACACCTTACTGCTGTCACACTCCATCTAGCTAGCAGCAGTGTGACTTCGCCTTCAACCCCTTCCTACATTATTTTTATCTTGGTTTCCTAGTGGAACATAGGGCTTCAGTAGCACGTCGCCATTCCACTCTGTTCTCTGCAGTCTTTCGAACCTCGCTCCACGATTGCCCAGAAGCTCTCATTTCTTCCTCACACCATCTCCTCCATGCCACCCTCTCCACGAACGCCCAACTCGTCGTTTCCCCTTCGAATTTCACTCGACGGCCTCGCCTGGTTCATGATGTCCCCAGTTGGCCTTCTCAGTTTATGCCCAATTCTTCTCCAATTTTATTCTACATATTTGTTGGGTGATAGGTTCTTGGTTGGTTCGTTCCAAGAGTCCCTTGTTACTTATTCTTATTATTATTCTGGCCATCTGGTCTTCAACATCTAGCCAGCGTAGACAGCTGTTGATGTTTGTCTGCAGTTTGTTGGGAATGCTTTTCATGACACGCCAAGTTTCTGAACCATATAGCAGCACTGGCTGGACATTGGTGTTGAAAATGCGGATCTTGTTCTTTGTGCTGAGTGAGTACATCTCCATACTGATTTCAGATTAGTGGAAGCCTGTCTTGCTTTTCCGATCCTGGCTGACTTTGACATATTCGTCTGTGACGCCTGTAGTTGGAACGGTGCTGCCTAGATAGGTGAAGGAGGCTACTTCCTTTAAGTTTCCCCCATTGATGGTGATTGGTACCTGTTGTTGAAGCTGTTGTTAGTTGGGTATCTTCATCACCTCCATTTTCTCTACATTCACTTGAAGTTTCGTCCTCACTGCCTCTTCTGTCAACGTGGTAGCTTTCGCCTGTAGATCTTCGAGTTTGTGCAACACTAAACCTAGGTCACCGGCGAAATCCAAATCTAGGCTCTTTTCATCGGTCCAGCCAGCG